ATCCTCAGGGCCCAATCTGTACAGATGAACACACCGCTTTGTCGTCACCAGGAAAACCACAATCACATGACAGGGTATTGAGAACTGGTGTCCTGGCTGTAGGTTTACAGCTATCATTATGACATACAATCAACCTTAGACATATGCTAAAAACATTTTCCAGAACTGATACCTTGTAATGTTTTTGCTACACTATTATACACCAGCCAAGGTTGGCAAAACGGGACCGATGATGAAATTAAATTTAAGACATTAAAACAGTAGACACGGGTGTCAAATTCCATGACAGTATAAAAACTTTATTAATTCAAAGTCTATGTAATAAAACATGACTATATATTGTAAAATGAGAATAACTATGTTCATATTATAAACCCTTATGATACAACGTGTCCTTTTTTTCTTCGCACTGCAAATGTAAAGGTGTCACAGTCTCTTTTACACTGCATGGAAATTTTTAATTCACAGTTGGATAGATGCCATGTGTAGAATAATCAGCATAGATAAAAAATGGCTTCAAAGAGTCAGAAAGAGGAGGCTTTCTCAGTCATGTGCCAGAGGCTCTCGTTGATCCAAATAAATGCTTCATCAATGCAGCTTAACTGAATGGAGCTGTTGAATTGTGAGATGGGCAGGTCTCTGCAGGACTTTGGATTTTCCTGGGGTTACAATGTGTCGTCATCGATTTTTTTTTTTTACAATAAAATAAGTTTTTGGTGTTATTACTCAATAAAATAATTAACAGATTAAATACCTAATGGTTAAATAATTGTAGCAAACTAAATACTGATTAGGTGGACCATTAATTTGAACACTTTTATTAAAAATATACAAGAAATTAAATTATGTTCAGAAGATATCTGACTTTTTCCAGCCCAGAAGTGGCTTCTCCTAAAGCTCCTGCTATCATCTATCAAATCTGATACCCGTGTCTTCATTCCCAAACAGCTTCCCCAAGCATGATTAAGACCATGGCTGCATAATAAGCAACACAAATGAGGTCCCTGGGACCAGTATTAAGAAACATTCGTCTAAAGAATCCTTGCCTGATGGCTGATAACTGGGTTTAAAAATGGTTGAGCTCCAGAAATTGCTATGTCTTTGAGACACACACATCCAAGAAGATGTTTTTGAGAAGATATACATATAGTCCTGTAAAGCATGTGTGAAAGCTACACGCTTTCACAGTCGCTTGAGGATGTAGCATATGTAATCTGTGTGTTTGATTTCTGATATAATTAGAGTTAATGTTGTCAGGTGCTTATTTCCAAAAATGCTATCTCACGTCTGTGGGCATAGCTGAGTCTGACTGGAATGTCATGCCCAGCGGTGGATATTCTGCTGAATCAAGTGCAGACCTCCCAGCAGTGAATTGTACCCTCTCTACTTAAGGAGTGAGTTCTGGCACATCACGGAGAGTCCGATGTTGTATGGGCCGCTTCAGCGGATTGTAGTGGGGGAAAACGAATAAAAGCCACATGATGCAGCATCAGTCACTGATATTGAGACTTGCTGTGTGGGCTCAGGAGAGTGCTAGGGGTGTGGCCCACAGCAGCAAGAGAGAACATAAACTCTGCTCGTGATTGGCTGATTCAGGAGGGGGGCAGGTGGGCAAGCCTGTGCCCCTTACAGGGAGATGTCCGAGGAGATCTGCAGCTGCTGTCCGGGTTTCTTCTTGCCACTTCGCCGTGCTCCGTCTGTCCGTCTGTATGGCTGGCTCCTCAGGTCTGCAAATTCAAAAAATGACAGTATCACTGAGAGAAAAGGATAGGAAAAAATCTGCTAGCCCCTCCCACATATTATTGGGTTCTGCTCTTCATATCAGTGATATGCAGAAACTTACAGAATTTGCCCCCCTCGGCACCACTACCTCAAGTCAAAACAAGTGCCCTCTCCCTTCTCTATCACCCAGAGAAAGATACCTATGGAGTGAGAGTGAAAAAGACAGACACAGAGCCGCCTCTAGGTGGGGCTCTCGTCACTGAAGCCGGAGTCGCAGAGAAGACGGGAAGAACGCTTGCCAGAGCGGGCTGTGAAGGGCACTGTCTTGAGGGCTGGGACACCCAGCACCGCAGGAGCATGGAATGCACGGTTACGGGTAGGGGGATTACACGTGGGGGGGAGTAGCCAGAAATGATAAGGCCAAAAACGGCCAAGAGAAAATGGCCAGGAGAAGGGGAATCATGAATGGATGACAACAGACAGAGGGAGTGATGCAGTGAGTGTGCATGGTCAGCATGGGGGTTCATGGGTAATTTGGGAAATGGATGGAATGGCCAGAACACAGTCATGCAGATAAATGGGCGGAAATTTGAAATAAAAATGGGAAAATTATTTGAAAAGAGAGGAGACAAAAAAAGAATACATAAAAGATTCATATATTAGTAGAGTACAGCATAATTTAATTTAGCTAAGAAAAGTGAAGAGACTAACAATCTAGAAAATTGAATCTGTCCTTTTAAAGCCTTTCATGCACGGTTCCCAGAGGCCACTCTCACCTGTGATGATGTCCTCAATTGCACCATCCTTGCCTTCCCGCACCAGGGGGTTCATCTGCCTCTTCTTCAGCTCTGCTATTAGATCCATTTGAGGCATCTTAGGCATCACAGACACCTGGCAGAGGTCAACGTTCCATTAGACATGCACCTCCTTCCATATTCATGCTCAGTATTCACTCAGGACGGTATAGGAACCCTCAGGCACCTGCAGAAATCCTGAGACACTAATCCGGTTTTGTTGTAAAATACTATTGATTCAAGATTGTAGTATGTCACCTACAGGTAGCATAAAAACACACACTTGTATGTGATGTAGACAGAGATCATGCTGATACATTATCAATAAGACAGCATGTAGAAGGTGTATGATCTGGAATCACCTTGTTTTCTGGTGGCTCTTTGGGGTCCTCGCTGCTTTGGACTTCCTGCCTCTTGCGTTGTTCATTTTCCTGCTGAGTTTGCTGTGGTTCACAAAAGTGACACAGTTAGGTTTCAGTACAGTCACTTGCTGGTGCATTGTGTCCAGGGTTGTATATAGGGGTGGGGCCACAGCTACCTACATCACAAAGCTGATTTGCTCCCCGAGAGTCCTAAGTCTGTCAATCACCGAATCAAAAGATATAATTAGTTGGCCCCTCTGCATGAATTATAGCCTGTTTGGCCTCTCCACCTTAACATATTCAAAGAATCACCCCTGGTTTTGTCCAGCACACTTCGACCTCTTACCTTATACACCTTGATGAAACGCACGAACACGGGGAAGAACATGGAAGGGGGTGTGGTCTTCGGGTTTTCCCCAAAATACTCCACCACCGACACAAAGGCTTCCTGCACAAAAGTAAGGGGGGGGGGGGTACATTCAGACCAGCATGGCATTATATTTAAGGAGAGCCTCCCTTATATACCAAAGTCCGGCCATGGAAGTCAAGGAAGTTCCTAAGATTTCCCCCTCTCATTAACACATTAATGACTCCGCGATGTGAGAGAAAGCTTTGTTAAATCATGTACGACTCATTTCACTGAGGTGCTTAAGTGCTTAAAACTAAACCCAGTATTTGAAGCATATGGGTCCTGGTGTGAATGTGATAACAGAAGCATTTTCTCTTAATCCTTAATCTGGTTTTATTAATTTGTTCCCTGAAAATTTAAACAGTGTTATTCTTGATTAAAATTAATCAGTCATTCTGTGAATTAAGGGAAATTAAATATTGAGGAATAATTCATTATTAAAATTCAATTAAAATCTAATAAAATGCACATTGTATTTTGACTAGCACTGATAGTTATTAATGGGTAAATTTCATTAGCAAATCCAAAATTCTTTCCAGTGCTGTTATGAAATCAAACCAAAGAGAATATTCAATCGATGCCCTAGTTCAGTCTAAGGGACGATGACCCCATGCTAACAGTCACTCTGCCGCACCAGAGCCGAGTCTTTTTTGAAAGGTTTTTAAAGGGGCTGACAGCAAAAAAGCATCATATCGTCAGAGGCGGAAATGGAGCTTCAGGCTCCTGGGGCAGCCCAGGAATGCCCAGTATCAGAGCATATGCTGGTGGCGGGATTTCTCCAACAGAGACTGTCAGCCTGGAAGACCATGCTGTAAGGAGCATACCTGGGCAGTCTTGCTGTTTGTCACCAGCTTATCTAGCAGCTCACTGTTGCTCTTCAGGAACTCTTTGAGCACTGGGCTGTTGTCCTGCATCATGAACTCCTTGCGGGTCAGCTCCATGCCCCTCTCCAAAGAGCGTACATCCTGAAGGATGCTATCCAGGGATACTGGTAGAAAGACAGATTCATAATTCAGGAATATAAATAACAAAAAATGACTCGATTTAAAGTCCAGAAGCGTCATAACCATGAATGAAGTTATGGGTTATACCAGAGGTCGCCAGCCTGTTAAAGCAAAGAGCCATTTTATCCTAAATGTCTGACCCAATAAAGAAAAACAATTTTGAGGGCTCTCAGTTTTAAATCACTGACCCATAACAGCGCGAAGGTGACTAGATTGTTCAGTTCTGTAGTGATAGTCTTCAACCTCAACCCTTCTTTCTGGCTAAAGTTCATTTAGGCTCTGCAGTCCTTTGGCTTTCACTCTCCACTTCACTGCTTGTAACTGTGCTGACCGAGCAGTGCAAAATGTACACACCACTCCGAACGCAGCTGGCTATAATATGTAAATCAGTGAAAATATAATAAGAATTTTACAATGATCTGGGAAGGCATGATGATGATTTACTACGAAAAAGTATATGAAAAAATTAGGAATCCCAATAAATTTTCAAGCCTACATCCAATCTTGGACACTGAAGAAAACTCCGGAAAGCATACTATTTGACCGGCGACGTAATCTTGTCATAGAGAATGACTTTGAGGAAGATGTAAATTATGCAGTTCAGACATCACAAGAGCGCGCAATGGACCGCCTCATTGAAGAAATGAGCTGGAGCTGAAGAAATATCAAAATAAAAAATAATAATATTAACTCATAAATAAATAATTTCTATTTATGAAAGTATTATAATAATATGTTACGAATGTAAATTCGTCTATCGTTCTGAGAAGAGCCGCAGCCTCGTGCTCAAAGAGCCGCCCGCACATGGCTCACAGGCCGCAGGCTGCCGACCGCTGGGTGATACTAGTGATAGTTAGGTGATAATCAGACTATAAGAAGACTATGAGAGTGAAGAACCCATTAAACCAGCCTTGCTACTTCCAAACCGACACTTTATTAGGTAGAAATTGCAGACGCAACGCAAAATCAAGACTGAAGTCAAAAGGCGTAAGGACCGAGACTTACAAAACAGAAAAGTTTCAATAGCAGAAAGCTTAACGAATAAAATTTAAGACATAAAAATAATTGGCAACACTTTACTTGAGGGGGTACAAGATACTTAGTAACTCAGTTACTACTCAGTTACTAAGTACAAATCATGAACAAATATAGTAAATGCATCAAGTATGTGAACTGTTTTGATTAATGATGAACGTAAATGGCATCAGTATGTAACTAACACTGGTTAATTAATACATTAAGTAAGAGTGTACTACTGCATTAGTGTCACCTCAAAGTGTTACCAAATAATTTAAGTTATAGGCTAGGGCTATTCAAATCACAGTCCTCAAGGGCTGAATCTTGCTGATTTTCCAGCCTTCCTTTACCTGTGAGCCAGGTGTGAAGCCTCAGTGGCCAATCAGAATCAGAAATTATTAAACTACGGGAGAACTGAAAACAAGGCCTGGATTTGGAATCGAGGTCCAGATTTGAAGAGCCCTGTTATGGGCTAAGCCAGGGGTGGGCAATCTTATCCACAAAGGGCCGGTGTGTATGCAGGTTTTCGCTGAAACTCCCTAATTAGGTCACTAATTAGAGGACTGATTGGCTGAATAGTCCTCACACCTGGGTTTGAACAGCTGACCTAAAGTTTATCCCAAAAACCTTCATACACACCGGCCCTTTGCAGATAAGATTGCACATCCCTGGGCTAAGCCATCTGCTAAAACTAAAAAAACAAAGGAGTGAAACTTTGGAACAGAGAAAAATATATTATAAAATGATTATAATAGTACGCATGTGTGTGTTGTGGATGGGCGTTTACCCAGAGCAGCCCTGTCCACAAAGTGCAGCTCGGAGTAGAAGGACTGCATCTCAGGGTACTTCTCCTGGATGATGTTAACGATGAAGTGCAGCAGCGTCTGACTGCGGTCTGTGGATTTAGTGTCCAGAAGCTGAAGAAAACGACAGATGATGGACACTGGGATTTAGTGTGACCCTGAAAACGCCCACACCAGCCCAACCTGATGCATCCACCAATGCTACTGCCATTTTTTCGATACTATCGTGGTCGCATGACTCTCTTCTGAGAAAAGTTTGCTCAGGCGAATGGAGCGAACGGGAGGTAGCGGGAACTACAATTCCCATCAGCCCAGGCGTGGTCATCGTCCTTTGCGGTCTGTTGTCGCTACAGATCCAGTAATGTGGAAATGGCGGGTGCTGCTAGTAGCGGCGAAGGAAACGAGATGGAAATACTAAATTGAAACTTTATTTTTTTACATGGTTTAATAATTTTTTGTTATTAAAATTGAAAAATTGAAGTTCCTGTTTCAAAGTTGGATTTCAATGAGCTTTCATACTATGGTAACTCCAGTGCTGTGCAAAATCTTAAACTACCAAACAGAGGTGTGATTAGCTCTCGGCCCCCTCACAAAATTTTACCTTTGGCCCCCATATCCAATAAAATTCATAATTTTGTGCATTCAAGAGCCCCTGTAAAGTGGTGGGCCCCATAGATCCGCCAGTGAATCCAGAGCCCTACTGCGCCCATCAGCAAATAAAAATATGTATAAATGATATTGGTAAAACTACGGTGCTTGACAAACTGCATAAGCTTAGACCTCTCCTCAGATTACCCTAGCTTTTGATGCTAACATCCAATGCATCGATGGCTAATCAACACCTCATGAAGCTGGTGGTGAAATTTAACAAATATATGGAATGGCTGGTGTTTACGAATCAAAGCTGTGTTCTTCTAGCCATTGAGTCTTATTGTGTCACCATTCATTTGCATGTATTCCAGTATTAAATAGTGTTTACTTCTGAGAAAATATACACTTGCTGCCTAGATAAATAGCATTTAACATAACTTTCTTTGGCAGCCTTTAACATACAACTGTACACGTTACATTCTTCAGCTATGTTCAGTGCTGCTCCAAGTTATAATCCTGGCAGCAGGGGTAACTGTAAAGCAGCAACAATGTGGCACTGGCTGGTCATCAGCACATTTTGGGCGTCTCACCAGGTCCAGGCTCTGGAGCCGGAAGCCATAGGCTGCTCCTCTCTTGCTGCTGTTCATATAGTTCCCAAAAGCCAAGATGATCTGAGGGAATAAGAATCACAAGTGAACCTAGCTGGAAGACAATGAGTTGTCTGAGTCCAGCAAAGTCCATATCGGAGGACGTGTCTTACCTCCAATACTTTCTTCAGTTTAGCAGAAGATTTAATAGCCATTGAGGCGGCAATGATAGCATTCAGTTGCTGGAAGGCAAAAGGAGAGCAAAGAACTTTGGATCATTATTCCATCCATTCATTTTAATGCACACACATTTCCCACATTAAACGTGACAGATCATTGATGGGATGAAATGTATTTGAGAAGAAAAAAAAAACATCCCTCTTCAGTAGTGGACACTCTAATATATAAATATATAAAGAGGGGCCTGGAGCATAACACCATTAGCGTTCACACAGAACTAATAATCGTGATGTTTGCTTCAGCCATTATAACCTCTATCATTACACCAAACTTTAAAAAATGTCAGCCTAAGTAAGATGCTGAGCCATCTCAAACTACCACTTTCACATGACATTTCCTCAACAATGGCAGAAAGCAGAATCTCCTACAACTGCTGACACGAGCTGAAATGTTTAACGAAGTGTTTCACCCATTCTGGAAGTTACCTACAACTTCCAGAGTTAACTATTGCCCCTGGATAATTTACTGACATCTCTTTCTTAAAGATATAACAAATGTATAACAGTACTTCCATTGTGGGAAGAGTGTGTTTCTTTAACCTGCATGCTACCTGTTGCTACACTACTGATGGTGTTATGCTGGATCTCTGCTAGCGACCCAAAGGAATGTAAATAAGCGGAAGGTGAACAACAGAAACCAGGCTGACCGGCTGCAGCAGCTGCACGCTTTCCACAAAGTTGCCCATGAAGGTCAGGGTGCTGATGCGCTGGGCCAGCCGAGTGATCTTCCCAAAATGCATCATGAAGCGGTCCTCCTCCGACAGCTCATCCAGCGGCCGGCCCTCCCGCTCATAGTTCTGGATCAGCTTCATCTCGTACTCCGACGGGATAAAACGCTCCAGCAGCTCCAGGAAGTCCAGGCTCAGAGACTGCTGGTCGTACCTGAAAAAGGAGACATAAAGGAAGATGAGGTAAGATGGGAGATGGACAAGGCAATGGAGGATTGGAGATGGGAGATGAACAAGGCGATGGAGGATTGGAGATGGGAGATGAACAAGGCGATGGAGGATTGGAGATGAGAGATGAACAAGGCGATGGAGGATTGGAGATGAGAGATGAACAAGGTGATGGAGGATTGGAGATGGGAGATGAACAAGGCGATGGAGGATTGGAGATGGGAAATGAACAAGGCGATAGAGGATTGGAGATGGGAGATGAACAAGGCGATGGTGGTTAGAGAGAATGTGCAACAGTGAACTGACAAAGTAGTCACCAGTTTTGGCAACATTCCCTTTGCCGTTCAAAGTAGAAATAAGCTTTAAACAGGAAAGGCCATTATTATTTAGTTATTTTAATTACTACTTCTAATAGCAGAGTCTCTCATTCATAAATAAATAGGGGAGCTGACCTTAATAACGAGCATTGTTAAGTTTCACAGCTGAGAACAATTAATGAGATGCCAGCAGGTAGCTAGCAGAAACATAGTGTCCGTACGTTTCTATGGCGGTGCAGATCTCCCCGGCGCTCATGCCCCCTTTGCGCAGGGTGATGGCAAGGTTCTTGGCCCGGTTTGGCTCAATGAGAGACACCTTGCTGGGAGCCTTCTGGGACACCTTCTTCTTCAGGGTGCTCAGCTCCATTGGGGAACCCTGGGCCTTGGTCTTAAACTGCTCTTCAAAAATATACATGTCCAGCTCCTACCACGGGCAAGTAGAGGCACAGGAGAGATACCGTCAAGCTGCCATATTCCACAACAAGGTATAGCAATGATGGCAGTTAGAAGAGGGCTGTGAAAGGCAGTGAGAGAACGGGCCTTACCACAAGCACCTTCTCGTCATCCAGCTCGTTGAAGACGGTGCCGGCCACCTGGGTGGGCTTGAGGGCCTGCCAGTTTAGCAGAGGCATGCGGTACTTAGTTTGGATGGTCTTCTTACACTTAGTTCCTGTAAAGGTTGCGAGGGAGAACAGATACTAAAGGTATCTAACGTCAGTTTTATTCTGATGCTTACGTCAGACTGTGTACGAGAGTTAGAACATCACCAAAAGGAAGTTATGCCGCACTTACCTGGAGTGCTAGGAAGACCACCCGGAGGGGGCGGAGGTGGAGGGCCACATCCAGGTGGAGGTGGGGGCGGAGGTGGGATGCTTGAGTTCGGCAGGGGGGGTGCAGGAGGTGGAGTAGGACCCTGCACATGGAGTCCTTCTGCTCCAGGAAGGGGAGGCGGTGGAGGAGGAGGAGGTGGGGCTGCTAGACTGTCAGTCAGGTTCATGGGTGCTGGTGAGTCTTTAGAAAACAAAAACAAGGCAGAATATTTTTACATTTGGTATAATTAATATGATTAATAGAGGCTGACTGGTGCCCAATACAATCAATGACATTGTACAGGTGTTGAGTATTTTTGTTGTTTGAAGTCTTAAATAACGCATGCAATCGTCTGTGGGGTTAATTATTTCAAACTGTGTACAGGAGCTCATAAAACAATCTGAGCAATGAATGCAGTTGGTGGCTGACCTGTTTCAGTGGTGGGCAGAGCCTGGCTAGTGTGAGAGTCAGGCTCAGGAGCAGACTGAGTTATGGTGACAGGCACCAAGTGGATGGCCAGCTTTCCGGAGGCTGAGCGCTCCAAGCGGATCAGCCCTTTGTCCTGCAGCTCCTGGACCTTCATCTCCAGATCTGAGGAGATCTGGGAGGATTGTTTGTGGTCCCTTTCGCGGTCCTTCTCCCTCTCCCGGTCGAGCTCCCTCTCACGTTCACGTTGCTGCAGGAATGTAACCTGCGCACACGACTCACGGAGACTTTCCTATAAATCACAAACCACAGACCTACTGGTGTATCGTACATATTCAATGACACTGTGAGCCATCGTTTGATGAAACACTGCCTTACACCATGTACTATTAAGCTAGACCATGTACTATTAACATGATTAAAAAGAGTTATGCATGTTGAAATCTGCTGAGCTCAGCCTTTACCTTTAGCATCTCTACCTCCTTGGTAGCCTGGATGAGCTGCTTCTCCAGCTCTGCCACTTTTTCCATGGCCTCCACCTCACTCTTCTGCATCTTGGTGCTGAGCTAAAATGCAGGAAGCCTTATACAGTCAGCCAGGCTTGAAGGTCCTATGAAACGCAGCATGACAGACCTCAGGATCTCTACACGCCTGCACACGCATGAATATATCCATGTCACCTGGGCATTGACATCCTGAAGTTCCTCCATGTGCTCCAGCAGAGTGTTCTTGGCCTCGGCATCTTCCAGCAGTGCTCCCACGTCAAACACGTTGTCCAGGTAGGCCTGGATCTGCACCAGCAGCTTGTCACTCTCTGTGAACTTCAGCTTCTGCTTGGAGACAGAGAGATAAACATACAGGTAGATCATCTGCAGAAGTACTCTGTGGATTCATAGAACATGCTGTCAGATTCTTCTACAGCTTCTACAATCCTACAGTTGGGATATCATACCGTAGACGTTGACACGGGCGCTTACCTCCAAGTACTCATCTAAGCCATGGTTGGTGAACTCATACTGCAGGTGCACACGGAAGTTCATGTTCTCCACTGAGTGAACAACAATGTTGATGAACTGCATACATGCAACCTGTATGGGAACAGGGGGGAAGGCACTTACAATCACTGCAGCATGTCACAAAATTGTGTGTGGGGGTGGACACCCCTTGGCGGGGTGAATCAGATGGTGAGCATGCTCTTTCAGTCCAGCCATAACATGCCCCCAGTGATTAGCTGTGATCTTGTGTCCCTTGAGCCCCGGGGAAGGTGCCCTAACCCTAACAACCTGCTCTTTCTCTTCCCCTTTTCCCCTTATGCTGATGTCAAAATGGCTTTGTTTTTATTCTTCTGCTTCTCCCTACCCTTTCCTCCCATCCCTCTAACACATATACCTCTTTCACAAGAGCAGGTTTTACAATATTCCTATAATTTAAGTGATGCCTGTCGTCTTAACCACTGATTCTTAATGTCTTGCCTTTTGTTAATGTTTGCTTCCTTAAAAAATATCTGGCTTTACATTTCTTACCATGAAGTCTATGTTGCTGTCTTCATTTGTGAAATACTCCATCAGCTTCTCGAAGCGGTTCTTCTCACCACATACCTGAAAAAGATATAAAACCGGCATGCAATTACCAAGGAGGTCACAAGGTGGCAGCAAATCCCAGGTACAACTGCTTATGAAATCCCAAAAAAATAATGTGCACTCATGGGTCATGAAATTTTTATTCCAATGCTGTTTCTCATTTTATAATGCTGCAACACAAACTATCTAATTCCATCTGTGATAGTTTTAAGATGGAACCTGGAAGATCGTGGGAAACATCAGAATTCCTTGCTATCATCCCCTTATCAAGCCTTGTCGAAAAAACTGATGAGGTTAAATTATTATATGGTTTGCGTGTATTTACACAGAATCACGTTACAGTGTAAGTCACTGGCATGCAGAGGGATGAATGGTTATGTTAGTGATAGTGGGAGATGGGTAAGGGGATTAAATCTCCTTCACAAGGCCCTGAATAAGCCTCAGGGTTTAACACAGCACAGGAAACACCCCCACATACATCTTTACAGAAGTGTCTGCCCTGCCTCGTCCATACAGCCACATCACACTCTAAATAATGCAGCGTTTCCACCCGCCAGCCAGTACCCAAACAATACCCACATGGCACTGCAGCGAGAAACAGACGCCACACTCGGCACACTGACTAGGCCCCACCCACATGCCTGGCACCAAGCCCCCACCTGCTGCCACTGCTGCCTAAATGACCGGGCTTGAGACCCAGCCCTGGTGCAGTACGGCCAGCAATCCTGGCTGAGCCACGGCGGCTGGCTGAGGGTGGAGGCAGTGCCAACGCTGGCTGTGGAGCTGCCTCGACCAGGCAGCCCCGATGCCTATAGGACATCATCCGCTACTGCCTGCAGTTTGATGGTTCCTGTTATTGACAGCTAACTGGAGGCTTTGAGGGGGATTGAAGTAATTTAAGAATGAATGAAGTAAACCCTACGTTAAGTTTCCTTCCAGCATTAGGAAATGTCATGACGCGTCAAGACAAAAGCTGTCACATGCAAAATGTTTTGTCTGTGAAAAGAGGCAACAGGTTTTGGATGCGTACTGTCTCTCCGAAGAAGTTTTTAGGTAGCTGCAGTATGTGTACATGGAAAGACGTACACGTTCCGGCTTCCCTGATCATTCCGGACGTGATTAATTTATAGCATTCCCAGCTAGCACGAGTTCCCAGTGGAACCATGGTGGAGATCACTCAAAAGTGTGGTCAGATCTCAAGTTCAGCATGTGGTGCATTTTTGAGTTCTGTGCAATTTGTAGCAGTTGTCTGGACAGCCGGAGCAGCCACTAGATGTAGGAATGCGGCTGCCGTGGTCCATGCAGAACCACAGAAAGGGGGAAGGAGACAAGCCTACTCCTGATGCAAGGAGAAAAACTATGAACAGTAAACCATAGTGCTTGCAATGGGTGAATTGCATCAATGTCTCGAAGAGGGTGCAGTGATTTGAGGAATCCAGTCCCCAGCACCCTACTCCCTGGGAAAGGGTGCAGGGTTCAGAAGAAGGGCCAGACTGGGCTGCAAGGTGAATGAAAAGCTTCCTGACCTCTTTGAAGTTATCGAAGGCTCTGAGGATGATGTCATGTCCCCCCCTCACGAGGCACACCGCAGCCAGCAGCTCGAGCACAAGAGCCTTCGTCCTGCAGGGCACATGAGACCAATCACACTGCAGCAGGGCAAGGGAGGTGGAAAATGTGCTCCCAGTAATGTTAATGGCGAGACACTGCAGGCAGTGGCAAGACGAAAACTGAGAATCCAGGAGTTAGGGGATTTCCTTAATGAAAAAGGGAAGAGAGTGTCATACTGCTGAAGCAGGAGGAACAGAAAGTTGACTGTAGACAGGCGGAAGAGAGTGGTACAGCCAGATAAAGGTATCAGATCACCCCAGTTTTGACCAAGAGGCCTTGGAGCCTTACTATCTGAAATCATTCTCCACAAAACTCTGTAAAATACACAAACGTACCCTAGATAATTCCCTCCAGCAGAGGAAATGAGGGCACACAGAGAGAAGAGAAGAGGGGCAGTCTGCGGAAGCACCAAGGGGTTTCCTCTGGCAGGAGCATGCGTTTCGCCTCACCTTGGACTCCTGTTGTTGAGGCTGAGTGTGATCTCGTTGACGCACCGCGGGTGGGTCATCACCAGGTTGAAGCCAGACTGCGGAGAGATCCCAGTGCTGTCAGAAAGGCTTTATGTTCACAGATAACAGACTCCACTCTTCAATCAGTATAGCTCAATTCCCACATGGGCACTCAATCTTAGTTATACCCTTAAAAATTACAAGCAGAGCATCTCAGTGTTTTTCAGTACAATCTGACACCAGTGTCAGAAGTGTGAGATTGTGTTTCTTTAACCTTGGCAAAGCACAGCCACATTTACTGATTTGTTGGCAAACTGTTTACTTGTTCAGGGGATCAAGATAAAACAAAAAGGAAAGGGAGAGTGACAGAGTGAGTCTCTCAAAACCCAGCTACACATTGTCCATAGTAAAACCCAGGTCCCAGCTACACATTGTCCATAGTAAAACCCAGGTCCCAGCTACACATTGTCCAGCCTGGTTAGCATACCAGCTGCTATTGAGTGAACTGTTAATTAGTGTGATTCTTATCTCATTAAATCAGGCGTGTCACTTGAAGACCCATATCATGTCAAACAACATTTGTGCTTCTTGACAGGAACATACAGATATTTCTTGTTTAATTGGGCTCGTTGAATTAATAACAGCATTCATTGTTTCAAGAGAGAAATGATTAGTCAATAATTCCTGGCAATTGCTGAGTTTAGCCCAAACAAATAAAATTAATCTAAAGAGAATACCAGTTATCAATGGATCAGGTATACAGTAATAAGCATCTGGTGGCCACACAAAGAGTTACTGGTTAACAGGAAGACACGGCCCACAGTACCTGATAATTCATTATAGCACGCAAGCACATGATGCAGACATGGACGTCATCCTTCTGGCCGATGATGCGTGAGCTCCTCAGGGTCCTCCTGCTGTGCAGGGAGTTGAAGCTGCCAAAAAAGGTGGAGATATAGAGGAGGACAGAGGGAAAGAAGGACAGATGGGGCCACAGAGACAGATTAGTGAGTGAGTTCACTGTAACATGGGCAAATAACCCATATGGCCATACATGTAAGTGGATCAATTATATTGTTAAGATTCTATTTGATTTACACTGTTTTAAAGGTCTTGTCAGGCCACGTGGATCCTCAGATAAGATCTCTTTAACTGCCAGTACCAGGCTTAATGCCACGTCAGCTCTCTGTCTCAGAAATGCTGATCCAAATAAAAATATATGAAGGCTTCACGTAGTTTAAATATCTTTGCAGCAGGTTTCGGTGCTAAAGGAATGCGGAGCATCTATATTATTTGTGCAGCACTGTCTATATGAAGAGTAGCAGGTTCCCCACTCAGATTCCCATCATACACCTGAGCACCAGCACACACACACACACACACATACAGGCATGCACACACACACACACACATACAGGCATGCACACACACACACAGGCATGCACACACACACACGCATGC